TAAATTATCAAGAAGTCGATCAGATGATTGACTGATCGACTATGAGATGCTCTCGATGAGCCTCTAAATCTCTAGCAACTAGTTCACAATTCCCTCCCTTGCTTTCCTATTCATTTTATTATATTTAGAAAAATTAATGATTATATAAATTAAAGAAACAGTAGAAGCAGCTGCTAATACCTTCTATGTAAAAGCTATCTTCTAAGTATCTGAATAGCTCTTCCAAACTTCCAATTGTATTTACTTGCTGCACATGCCTCTGTTTAATTAAGTTCTGCTTTGTTTTGCTGCCTTGCTGAGCCCATTTGTAAACAAGCCATTGTTTTACAGGGTATACGCAAATTTATGCTGATTGCCTCTGTTGACTGCTCCTCAAACATGTTGGCCAAATATTTGGCCCTGCCTGCGGCAAACGGCAACACTCATTGCCTCCTCGACAAGGCTGTAATTATTCGAATTATTATTGTTAGGCGTGAAAGTTACTTAATGGCACTTTCACTTTTTCAACCTTGCGCAGCCCTCACAATATGTAAAGATAATTTTTGGAAAATTCCTGTGGGCATATTTACTATATATGTATGTATGTGTGGGTGTGTGTGGGCGTGCCTACTTGAATTAGCGTTTTCAAATTGCCTTTTTCAAGTGGCAGCCAATTGAAGAGCATAACAATGTTTGCCTAATGACAATTACAGTGGTTAGCTACAATGGGACCTACTTGAGCCGACTATTTTTGGTTAATTCTAATGGGCTTGCTATGGTACCAACTCACTTTCTAGCTGACGTCAGTAACGGCTATAATTGGGACTGTAAGTGCTTACTTCTAGGGTTTTGTTATAAACTACTTCGAAAGGTATTTTTGTAGAGAAAAACTAAAATAAGAATCGAGTTGAGTGAGCAATTAGGCTAAATTCAGTGATTTAGTCTAGAGCGTGGACTCACTCTCTAAGCCCTTGGAGAATATAAGCAATGATGATATTTATTATGTAGAAATATATTTTATTTATCAATTTATTTCCAATTTAGTTAAGTGCAAAATTTTGATCGATGCGATAATAAATATTTCCACTTCCCTTTTTAGACAAACTTCGGTCAAAATGTTTTTTTAAATTTTAATGTAATTAGAATATGAACTTGGGCCAAATTGTGTTGCCAAATTCAAATGGCATTGGGAAAACAAACACTTTTGGTCATGCCACATATAAATCTATCGAGTTTTCATTGTATAAGACAGTTTTAGTTCTGAAAGGAATATTAAAAATTTAAAAATATAAAAATTTAAAAATATAAAAATTAAAAATAATTTTTAAGAGTTTTATTTTCTTTATCAAATTTGGACAAAAAAAATTGTATTAACATGAGTTAAGAGGAAATATAAAATAATTGATCTATTTTTCCTATTTATTAAGCACTTAGTTGATCTTCAGTCTCCAGCCATATCTCAATTTGTTCTCCATTAAAATTTTTGCAATTGATATTTTGTTTATGCACGCGCAATTAACAAATCAGATCATTTCACAGCTTTTCAGCTAGATCAATCCAGTTTGTGTTTGAAATGAAAATTTGTGAAAATATTTGCTTAAATCAAATAAATTTGCACACATTGAAGCAAATGACTTGTACGCAAAGACTTCAATCATCAACAGATTAAAGTTATTTCGACTAGCACTTCCTCTACATCTGTTGCCATAAAAATCCAAATATTTGAAGCGAATATCATATTAATGTACTTATACCAAAATATGGCCCATGGACTTCCTGGCCTCTGTCAGTCATTGAGGTTCAATTTTTTCTGTTACCATATTTATTTTGATAACATTTGTGGCGATTGTTGTTGCTACAAAGCGTGAGGAATGAGCCAACGCTTTGCCTAAATTAAGAAAACATGCCACAAGCCAACAACAATAACAAGCATACGCCATGTGGGCTGCACGAGCATTTGTGTTATTTTATTTATTTAATTTGCAACGAAGGAAATTGCAACGACGAGAATGAAAAGCATGTTAAACATTTTCCATTCAACATCTCTCTTCAGATTGACTGTACAAATAAATCAAGGAAAACGGCAAATTAATATTTAATTGAATTGTTGCTGTCTTTTATTATTGAAATAAATTCCGATTTCCAGCCGCGTGCAACGCTTGCACAATCTTCCGCTGACTGACTGATTTTTTCAGCAAGCTTTAAGTGTTATTAATGTAATTTAATTGTGTGTATTATTAGCAATTTCACATGTCACTTGACACAGCTAATTAGCAGCTCAGCTGAAGGTGCAATTGTCGAATCAACGAATCAACGCCATAAAGATGTGTGAAAAATAAATTGTAATGTTTTTCCCTGAAGAGCTGTCTACATGATTTTGCTCACTTTAAATTATTTATTCGCATATATTATGGGAAATTGTTATATATTTTCGCATGCTTACTTAAATTTAAATGAAATATATTAATTTTGTTTAGTATTTTGATTTAAATTTAATTCCGCATGTTTTTCGTAGCAACAGAATTTCATAAAAACAAGTTTAACAAGTCTTCATAATATGAATTATATTATATATATATATTTAGCATATCTATAATTAGTAATTATTGATATCAGAATAATTAATATTATTGAATAAAAGCTAATTGACATACGATATTAAATTCATCTTTTTTTATCACACGCTAAAAGTTAATTAGTTTTTATTTATTAACAAAATAAATAACGTTAATGTTTTTATTTATTTTTATAATTGCAGCAAAAGATAATATGCAAAAGAATTTTGTATTTCGTGTAATTAAATTCCACTGCACCTGGAATGATAGGGATATTGGCTTGAAAGCTTTTTTATGGGAATAAATGTACTGCTATTACAATTGCTACTCATATTACTATTCACTACTCATTTTATATCATATAACTTATAATTTCTTTTTCTTTTCTACTTCTAACACTAATACTGATATATACTACTACTTCTACTAACACTACTATTCTTTCTAATACTAACAATAATTATATTGTTGTTCTGCTATTAGTACTAATATTTTTTTTCTAGTAATACTACTAAAAAAGATATATTATACTACTTCCACTTATGCTACTGCTTATAATAATATTATCAAGTTTCTACTACCAATAGTAGATTGAACTATAACTTATATATATATACTATGAACTATTTACTACAATTTTTATTTCTAATAAAACTATTATTATTAGTTTTCTTTGGGTATTAAAAAAATCTTTAAAAGATTTTAATTTGAAAACAATCGTATTCGTCGTAATGACAGGTTTGTAGATTGCTCTAGTAGCAAATGCAAATCCTAGTAAGAATATAATTCCCGCTATTAAGCTTGATTGCTTCATTGATGCGTCAGGCTGCAGATCCATAAATATCAGTCAATTTCAGCTCAATTTCCGTCATTTAAATCAACAACTTCGATGATAAATATCCCAAATCCCTCTCAAAAAAAGATGATAAATTTGGTTGCATACGCAGAGGCGCGCCCAATGCAAATGACTGACTGGCTGGCTGGCTGGCTGTGTCCTCGTCGCTGGGCAGAATTTATGAATGGGCATAAATTAACGTGACTGTTTTGGTGGGCTGTCATGAATGCGACAAAGACGACATCTGACGAGGAACTTGCAATGCGCAGACGGACAATTCGGGGGCACATTATGTTAAATTTGGCGAGAGCACAACAGCAACAAAAACAACATTGCAGACGCCGTTTCGAGGGCATTTTTAGTGTCAAATTTTTTTTGTATATGTCATTAAATGAGTGCGAACTCGGCGCCCGCTGCGTATACGTAATATGAATATAAATTACTGCTGGCATTTTTGCTCTGCTTTTTTTATGATTGTCGGACCCTTTTTAATTGAAATTCAAGCATTTTAATGCGACTTTTTTGTTGAACCTGTTGTTCGTTTTTATTGTTTTTTCGGCTGTCGAGTGCTACAACATTTCTTTATATTTCTCTTTTCAGAAAATTTACATAAAGGGTCGAACATTTCGAGTTTTGTTCTGTTTGCATATTGAAGTTTTGCCAATTGCCGCAGCAATATTTGCATTCAATTTTGTGCTCACCTCCAACCAGAGCAGACCCCAACATTAAACCCTTGGCCCTTGCAGCATGCAGCTGATTCGTATGCCCGACCTTGCGGAGCATCGGCTTTTCTGTTCTTTTTTGGCAACGGTTATCAAGGTACTTGCAACATCAAGTTTATCATTTATAATAAATAATTGCATATCTAATGTCTTTTGTTGGCCGCAAATATGACAGACAATTGGCAAAGACTGTGCCAGATGAATCAATGTGAGCGCCGAGCAATTAGAAAAATGCAAATGCTTTTGATTTATTCAAATGTGCTCTACATGAATCGCTATCGTAAATTTCCACCCAACTGATTTGCCATTTAAAGGTAACTTGATCTTATATAATATACAGCAGAAAATTAAGATCAGTTCCATGTCTAGATAAATGAGTTTACACTAAAACAAACAAGTATTCAGCTGCGTTTATTTCTGAAGTTTTACTTTGCAGTAGCGAAATTTATTTTTATTTAATTTAAAAATTAAACTTTTCAGAATTCCTGCTAGATACAGACTTTAAATATTTTTAGTTATTTATAATTTATTTTTTTTTTAATTTAATTATTTAATAATATATACTTTGTATAAGCATTTTAAAGTATATTTAAATAAATCTTGACTTTATCAAAGACTTGAATGAAAACAGAAAGCTTTTGTGAAACTAAATTTTAAGCAAAGTAAACTTACTTTCATTGATTATAAGAAATACTTTTTTTGTAAATTAAGTTCAAAAATACATATATTTAGACAACAATATTGCTTTTGCTGTATTCAATGTATATATTTTGGCTGTTAACAGATTGCTTTTCAGTTATTTACTATAATTAAACAAATATCACAAATAAGTTTCTATCCAAATCTAAACAATTTTTTTTTGTAAGTCCCCAAACAATAGTTGTTGATATTATAAAATTTTATATTTACTTAAAGAGGTGCTGAAAAATTTCCAAGAATTTTTCCAAACAATTTATTTTCAATTGTTTTTATTGTTTTTCTTTTTTCTTAGATTTTGAGTTTATTTTTCACGTTTAGCACAATTTCAAAAAGACTTTTATACGATTTAAACTGTTCGGACGCACGAAACGAATTTGTCGAGGTTTTTGGTTTTAAGAAGAACCGTTAACGTCTAGAATCCTTTGCAGACTGTTTGAAATGTTGCCTGGCGAATGGTTTATCAAAGCCAAAAACTCAACACACCTTGGGGCCGAGCAACGGCAAAGAGCGAGAACTGAGCGCAAGAAGGCGACAGGCAGAGCGACAGAGAGAGCGAGAGAGAGCGAACGACTTACCCGGGGCGAATGAGCGTAGGCGCCGTCTGCAACATATATGTGGGCGCAACATATCAGCTAGCAACATGTTGCTAGCAACAAACTGTTGAATTCCGTTTTCCAGGCATTCCGTAAACAAAACAAAACTGAAACAAAAGACACATTGGCACAACTTTTCTACATGTGCGAGTGTGTGCGAACGATATTGAGTATGTGCTCCAACCGAGCCTTGACTATGGAATAAGAGATTTTTGGAGGGGAGAGTTGTGGCATGGGCGGCATGCGGCATGCGGCATGCTAGCAAGTGGCTGGCTTCGGCTTTGGCGTTGGCTTTGGCTTTTTATCTGCCATGCCAAAGTGTAAAAATACAAATGAACATAATGCGCAAAATGATTTCCGCCAGTTCAACTTTCCACGCTTCGTCTATATCTCATGTATGTGTGGTGTGTGTGTGTGTTCTTTTTAATTGTAATCCCCTTGGGTGCTTTGGCTTTCAATGTTTTATCAGCATGCAATATTATAATTCTAGAGCAAAGCACTTTTTTGGTGTTTTATAGCATTTGGCCCTTGGCCTTAGTGCGGGGTCGCGTGTGTGTGGGTGTGTGGGGCTGTGTATGTGTTTGCTCGTCAGGCAATGTCAAGTGCGGCTCATGCCAAGGCACACACTTGGGCAACTCACTATTGTTTGGACTACCCTGTAGTCAAAAATGTATTTAAACAGGGTTATTCCGTATGAGGACTCAATGGGAACCTCAAAATGCCTAAAGTTTTACAATTAGGAAATTTTATATCCAGCTGAATAATGCTAAGTGTGTGAAACTCGAAGTTAAATCTAATGCAAATTGTGCATATTTACGTATATTTATATAAAAACAGAGAGCATATTTGCCTATTGCATCAGTCAGATAAATGATCCGAGTGATCCACTGTTCAGCATGCCCATGCTCAGGTTGCATAGCTTATCATAGCGTGTGGCTCATTCATTTTTCATGCAGCTTTCATGTTTTCCTTTACGTTCGGTCGTCTTTCTTACTACGCACACTTTTGACTACCTTTTGTGCTGAGATTTATGTCTAAGCCTTTAAAGTTAATTGTTTCTGACTTGCCATGCAATGTGAGTATGCGTGTGGTTACTTTTGAACTGGTTAAATAACCATTATGTAATTGTTTTGACATTGAGCATAGTCAAATGAAAGTTTTGCCACCTCGCCCCAGAGGCCTCGTCGAGTGTCGCTCACAGCGGAAATTACAAATTTCAAAGACAACAGCAACATCCACATCATCAGCAGCAACAGCAGCAGCAGCAGCAGCTGTGATTTCAGCGCATTTGGCAGCTCATCTCAACTATGAAATCTGGCAATAAATTTCCGTCGTTAATGCGCCGCTTATCGCTCAATTGGCGCAGACTAAGCAGCTTTTCCAGAAGTTCCCAGCAATTGCCCTCTCCTTAACTCTCCGCCCCTTTTATAATTCACATGTTGCTTGGCGCATAAACAAAACAGCAGCAAAACGGAAATCATTTGTTTACCAAAATAAAATTGCTGTTAAATTAAAATAATTAAATATCAAATAAATGATTCTAGAATATCTGGAAAGTTAATAATAAAACTTGCCCAAGTGCTACAAATGTTTATATTATGATACAGCCAACAAATGTGCGTTTTATGTTTGCTTTGTATTTCTGTCTGTATTGTGTGTGTGTGATTCCATTGAAAGCATTTTAGAATTTTTAAATTGTTTTTCTTTTTTTTTGTTTTAATGCTTAAATATGTTAATGGCAGTTCGTGGGTCGCCGTCGCCGTCGCCGCCGCCGTCGTCTTTGCATCCATGAATAAAACATTTAAGCATCAAATCAAAATAAGTAAAAATAAAAATTTCCTTTCTACTTTGATAGAACGGCGTCGGGGAGTATGCCGTGAGCCGTACAGGGAATATATAACCACCACAAAATCAATTGTGAGAATTTATTGCGCTTGACTGCCCCAAACACATACACACACACACACACACATACAACAAGTCAAGAGGCCCAGCATGCCACAAAAAGTGTGCTGCATATTTAGAGGCTCAAATACTTGCCACCGCGACAAAAGTGAAAAGTTTTTTTATTACTCGTGTTCTGTGAAACGTTTTCGCGAAATTATAATGCTTTTTAAATAGAATCTATTAAAATAATTCATTAAAAGTAAACTAAACTAAAAGTAAAGTAAAAATATGCCGAAAATATGTTTGCACAATCCGTTTTTCCAAGAGTTTAAAATATACCTAATCTATTTATCAATATATAACTATTTCAAGTAATTGAAGCTCTGAATTTGTTATTATATTTTGGAAAAAATTAAATTGATTTTATTTGTCACAACCAGTGAAATATTTTACCAAATACTTCACACAAAAATATTTAGTTTGAATATAATTTTGATTACATTATATAGCGATATACTTATCAAGACTTATGCGCACTTTTGACAGGTGAAACAGATGCTTGGAACATCTTGAAGTGCAAACGCTCGTCAATGCTGTCGTATATAATTCCTTTATCAGCAGTGAGCCTATTGAAAGCTACCGCAGCTTTTCAGCTGGTCTCTAAAGCTTTATTTATTGTTGTTTGCTTTGCGTTAAAACGTCTTGCATTATAATTTAAGGAAATTTAAGACGATTCTGACTTGAGCCATGTAAGCTAATTAATTAATATACGAACAATGCAGCAAATAAATGTTTGCCACTTAAGTCAAAGGCCAAAACACAAGCGAAAACGGCTTGAATCGTGATGTAGAATATGTAGAAATACGATATATCCTGTAAAGTTATATACAGATCAAGAGGATGTTTGACTTGTTTAACTTAGTAAAGTTGGGAAATGCTACAGAAATGTACTTAGTTTCATTATTTGAGTAACGATTTAACCCATATATCTTCTGCGTATCGGTTAGACAGTCGCAGCTTTTGTGAACTAGAGTAGACCCCTAGCTAACCAACTTTTAATTGGCCAAGGGTATAACAATAGGCCTTGGGCATATTGTACTAGCTAGTGCCCAATTCGAGTGATTTACTCGAATTAACTAATGAAAGCGGCAGCAAGCAGAACGCCTCATCGATTGGATTAGCAATCCCAACAGGCGATGCTGCTCTCTAGTTATAATTGGCCTGGCCAGTGGCACAAAGGCACAGAGTGAAGTGAAGTACAAGAGTACGTGTTCGAGCTTGTGCAATGCTTATAAATTACGTTAATTGCTTTGCATTAATTAGGCCCATTCTCTTCAAGCGCCAATTGAATTATTAATGAAATGCCCACTGAAAGGCTTTCAGTTGCAAACAAATTGAACCAAATATTTGGTACAATTTTTTCCATTGTGCCGACAACAATTCATTTTGTTTGCTGACATTTTCAATTTAACGCCATGACAATTTGTAATTCACGACGAGGACAACACCAACCATCGCAACAGCTTTCAAGTGTTAACAACTATCCTGAATCAGTCAGTGCTGACCATCTGCAAAGCATTGCCCCCCACCCGGTTACAGCACTGGCCTCCTCTTGGCCCTTCCTGAACCAAATAAACGCACATGCATAAATCAATGTTTGGCGGCGTTGGCGCGGTCTGTCTATTGACATGTGCTGCGGGCCCTCGCACAAATTGAACCTGTCATCTTTTAGGCAGCCTCGTCAATACATATTTGCAGTATGCAGGCGCCACAGTTGCTGCTATACCCTGTACTGCAGTTGGCAGAGGTTGGTCGGTTGCTGTTGATGATTAAGTCTTTATCAAGAATGCACAGAATAACTAAGAAGCAAGTCTCAGTTGTTGAAAGTAAAGGCAAAGCGAGAAGCAACTGAATAATTTAAATATTAATGCAAGCGACAAACTTAAGAATAAACGGACCGAAGCGCACTTAAATACGCAGCGTGCTACTTATTCATCAATCAAACAAGAAAAGCGAGAAGTGTAGTGAAAATGTGACAAGCCAGCCGCAAAGAACAGAGCATAAAGCAAAAAACTAAGGAAAACAAGTAAAAAAGTTCTAGCCGGGAGTGCGAGACTAGGCGATACCCTTAAATAGTTTCTTTAGCTTATATATAGCTAAAAAAGAAAAGGAAGAAAAGCAGATGAACTCCATATTGTATTTGAATAATTCTGAGCTTCGTCTATGTTTTCAACTGAGCTTAAATTTATCCATTTATAAAACAAATCAAAATTATGTAAAAAATATATAAAATTAAATGCTAAATTTGAAGACTCTGGCTTCCAAGACTCTAGCTCTTATGAGTTGTGAGATGGATGCGTTCATACCTATGGATAGACGGATATTGCCAAATCGACTGAGCTCGTCATCCTCATCAAAAATATATAGTATTTGATAGGTCTGCCATGCTTTTTTCTGCCTATTAAATACATTTTAGCAAAATCCATTTTTAATTTAATGTAAAAGAGACGAAATAGAGATTATGACATAATTGAAGCGAAGCACAAAAAGGACAAAAATAAAAAGAAAAGTGAGCTGGAAATTAAACGAGGGGTTAAACAAGATTTGGTAAGCAAATTTATAATTAAGCTGCAGCAGCGACCAGAAGTAACAAGCAAATCATCATATTTATATTTGAAGTACACTAAGCCTATATTTTTATTAGTGACTTTTTTCCTTCAATCAGCAAACTTATATTGGCCGTAGCTAACTAATTATAGATCACTATTTATCTGAAACAGGGTAGCTCGTAGTCAACCATGCAACATCGCTGCACTTTTGGCCTGTGCGATTCTATTTCGGATATTTCCTCGTATACAGGCGCCATTTTGTGTTGACAACAGGCAACAACTGCTGCTGCTGCAGGCCACCATTTAACGCTACACGCAATTGCACGTC